GATAGGATACAGAAGAACTATAGTCAAGGGTATATATTAGCGTGTCTCCTGCATTATCTTGTCTTCTGAGGCTGACCGTCCTAAATGCAATTATGTCTGATGCTCTCATAAATGAGCTTCTAATCAACCCTCAATCGTTCCTGCCTCTTTCATCGGTGACGATAGTTGGCGTCCCTGAGGACAGGCAACGTTAAGCATTAATTGTCGCCTCGCAGCTGGAACAGTGGCGACAGGAGCCAGGATTTCATGAGCAGCCCTTAGTGGCTCCTAGCTTCCTACTGCATCCCAAGCAGCTCTGAAGACTGCATCTGAATATGCTGCAATGTAATCAGACACTCAGGTAGGAAAAATGCTGTGTCAAGGTATAACCACAGGAAAGTCACGTGGGGAAACAATTCTCAAATCAAGAACAGGTAAAAGAATCTTCTACCAAGTGCCCCAGTATTGAAAAAGCCAAACTGGCCAGGGTTGTGGCTAGGAAGCAGTGATAGCTCGACAGTGTTTACATGCTAAACCATGGGTCCACACAAAGGGTAGATATAAGTCTAACCTTCTTGTGTTCAAGCAGAGACCAGTTTGTGAGGAATACAGCCTGGACATCACCTTAGCATACCAAAGCAAGTGTCTGGCATAGTACAAGGGGCAACACTTGCTTATCATCTGAGCCAGCACTAAGCTGATGTTCATGACACTACTGAAGCCAACAGCAAAGCTGTTTTGGGCTGGAGCACTAATGCTGCAATACAGCAAACATGTAAGGAAGAGTTGGGAGGGACTGACTCCGTGCTGGAAGTCAGCAGTGGCAGATCATACATAACTACAAAGCCCAGACACAGCTAGGAATGACACCTATGCAGGGTATTGCGACAAGAGAGCACTACCCAGCCAAGAAGGTGGAGTGGGAGAACAAGTCTGTAAGACAAACTAGGATGGAAACAGCATGAAAGAGGAAAAATAAACACCATGGCCCTGGCATGGAGGCACACTAATCTTTGCATACTCCTGAAGTTACACAGATCTTGGAAAAAGCATATCATAGAAAAGCAACCCCCATCCAGGGAATAATGTGCTCTGATTCTATGATTCAGAAGGCTGAAGAAATGCTTTATTAAGCTATATTATATAATACTATATTACTACTGTATACTAAAACTATACTATACTAAAGAAAAACCCATGACCCTTTCAGACAGTTACGACACAGCTTTGATCTAACTGGTCAATCAGTCCAAACAACCAATCAGCAGAGTCCAATTAACAAATCCCTTTGAGTAAGCAATCTCCATAACACATTCCACATGTGCCAAACAACAGGAGCAGAAAGTAGAGATAAGAATTGTTTTCCTTCTTCTTTCTCTGAGCTTTCTCACTGCCTTCCCCAGGAAAAGATCCTGGGACAGAGAATTATGTCCCAGAGAATGTGAATACCACAAGAGAGACGGACTGAGAAGGCAGTGAAGTATTTCACAGATTGTGTACACATCATTGTGTACTGAACAAAAATGATACTTTTATGACTTGGCAGTGTGGGCAGGCAGCCTGAGCTGAGCATGAACAGAGAGATTTGGCAGGTAAAATAAGAGAGTCATAAACCAAAACTCTTTGGTTCAAAAGCCCAAAGAAAAAGAGCCCCTTGACAGGCACTGTTGGCTGTTGTATGTGTTTTTTGTGGCGCTTTTTTTTTCATTTTTACTGTTTTCTCTTCTCAAGGAGAAGGAAGTTCCTAATTTGGGTTTGTCTGTACTTTGCAGTTACTGAGCATTGTGCCCAGCGAGACAACAATAAAGTGTTCCAGACCTTCACCTGAAATAACATACACCAACAAGGCCTTGGTCAATAGAATAGATCAAAACAAGGACCTAGCCAGTAAAAATGTATGGTTTGGAATGGCTTGGGAGTCTGCCTTACAAGCCAGAAGAATAATTTTGGATGTGAAAGAAAAAAAACCCTACACAGAAACAAACTGAAAACACTGAACTTGCTTCTCTGCTAAGTAAATAATTTCTCTGTGATTCTGCTGTAAGAAAAGAAGCATCTCCCTAGATGACATCCAGAGGAACCTGGACAAACTTGACAAATGGGTCCACAGGAATCTTATGCAGCTTAAGAAGACTAAGTGCCAGGTGCTACATCTGGGTCAGGGCAATCCCTGGGTATGAACGGATGGAGAGCAGCCCTGAGAGAAGAACTTGGGGTGCTGGTGGCTGAGAGGCTGGACATGACCCAGCCATGGGCACTGCCAGCCCAGAAAGCCAAACGTGTCCTGGGCTGCATCCAAAGCAGCGTGGGCAGCAGGGGAGGGAGGGGATTCTGCCCCTCTGCTCTACTCCGGTGAGATCCCTGGAACCCTGCATCCAGCTCTGGGGTCCCAGCACCATACATGTGTTGGAGTAGGTCCAGAGGAGGCCACCAAGATGGATTAGAAGAAAGGAGCACCTCTCCTATAGAAAAAGGCTGAGGCAATTGGGATTGTTCATCCTGGAAAAGAGAATGCTTTGGGGTGACCTATAATGCACGTTCCAGTATGGGAAAGAAGCCTACAAGAAAGACTTTTTACAAGGGACAAGGGGCAATGGCTTCACAGTGAAAGAGAATGGGTTTAGGTTAGATAATATGAAGAAATTCTTTACTGTGAGAGTGGTAAGGCACTGGCACAGATTGCCCAGAGAAGCTGGATGCCCCATTCCTGGAAGTGTTTGAAGCCAGGTTGCATGGGGCTCTGAGCAACCTGGTCTCAGCGAAAGGTGTCCCTGCCTATGGCAGAGGGAATGGAATTAAGTGATCTTCGAGGTCCCTTCCAACTCAGGCCATTCTGTGATTCTATGATATTTCTTGTACAGTTTTAAACTATTCCTTATGGGTTTTGTTCCACTTTCCCCAATAGTACTTTCTAAGTCATGCCTGTGTGTTTGCACAGAAGTGGCCCAGTGCTGGGGGTTTCCAAACAGCAGCACACTAAAGAAAATATTTTCCAAAGAGCCTACTTCAAACTCTTTGTTTGGTTTCTATTAAACACGTAATTAACTCTACTGCCTGAACAAACTGAGAAGAAAGCTCTGAAATCAAAGACTTACACAACTGCCAACCATGAGAGTTCACAAGTCAGTTTCTGAAACAGCCATGAAATTGGCTTAGAACCACAAAAATCATCTGCCTCTGGTTTTCCTTTTCCTTGAGCTGCCTGTATTGGAAATCTAGTAGCGGGCAGCAGCGGAGGTATGAATGTGCAGTGCAGTAGCTGCTCCAGACCTGCTCCCTCAAGGGACAGCATGCCTCTTCCCTGGGAAGTGAGCAGGCAGGGAAGGAGCTGCAGCCTTCGTGATGCAAATGCACATCTCCACTCACCATGGGGCAATAAAGGGGTATGATTTTCCTAACTAGAGGCTAGATTCTTTTGCAGTTTTTGTCTCTCTGGCCTTCTCAGAAGGCTGGGCAATTCTGGATGTTGCAGCTCCGTGTCCCTTGCCCATGCAGCTTCTTGGATCACTGGGTATTTATCCCATCCGCAAAACAGCAGAAAACCAGCTGCTCTTTGAAGAAAACTGTGAAGGCCTAATTTACATGAACTTAGCAGGGATATGATTTGCAATCAACATATCTCAGTCTCCCTACCACTTTCTTAAAAGGCAGTGGAGAAAAATGCCCATACCTCCACTTCTATCATGATAAACTATAGGGGCAATGCCAGCAAAAGAAAAACATGGGCAATAATGCTTATAAATCCTCAACCAGGTAAGAGCTGGAAGAGGGACTTCCCAGCCTATTCCCAGGGTAGCTGTGACAGGATTCAAAGCACCGTGTTAAGCAATTGACTGGAGATGCAAATGAGGTTGCCCAGCTCCAAACAATGGAAAAGAGAAGTGCAGAAGGTCTGCAGGCAGTTAAGGACTGCTCAAGTGATGTACACTGGGCTGCTGTGCTATTCCCTGCACCATGGTCCCCACACCAACACTGTCTGGGGGGATCACAGCACTTCAGACATTTGTCCAGGACTGCTGTCCCTGCCCTTGCTGAGCTGCACTTGCCTTCTGTTCTTTCCCTTCCAAACCACACATCAGTGACAGGATAGACTTCAGGATGCAGGGGTAAAGGTTGAGCATCAGTCAAAACTCCCCAGCATTATGACTAAAGTACATATTGTGCTACTAGGGCATACTGCAAAATGCAAGTCTTGATTATTACTAAGCAAATGCCACTCCACTCCCCAAACTAGCACCACCCTTCAGCAAAGTTACCCCAAGTCAGACAGCAACGTTATGCCTGTGATCCCACTGGGCAGAGACAACAACTGACACTACTGCCTGGTGTATTTTGTTCAGAGAGGAGCACCTCATGGAAAATATAGGTCATTCTGCTGCATGAAAAACAGTGCTGAACTCCAACAGGTTTGCAGACACAAAGGCATTTGCACCAGGGCCTGTACTAGTCTGTGAAGCTCCCTGAAGAAAGCTGTGCTGACCCTCACCTAGTAACAAAGAAAGGGAAAAAAAAACCCAACAAACAAAAAATACTTTTCCCATTGCAGATGATGGGCCCCTATTTCTGAGGGCATCAAAATATTCACTGTGACGCTTTCCAACCAGCAATTATTTCTCAGCACTACTCACAGCACCCCTGCTTTCCCCAAGTAATCACTTCTTTCTTTTTAACTTGCTATTACAAAAACAAGTTTGGAGACTGAGCCCCAGCCTGTCCTGAGCTCCTGCACAGCAGCCCAGTCAGAGTCAGAGAGCACACATTCAAAGGTCCAGTGTCTCTGAGCATGGAACATGCCCAAGGCTGCCCAAGGAAGAGAACAGGGGTCTTCCCAGGCCAGGCCTGAATGAATTCAGCTCTGGCCTGATCCTGCGCTAGCAAATTCTCCTGAGGATACAGGCAGAGGCATGGGCTGCAGGGAGCAGACACAAGTCTCAAGGTAGAAACCACTTACCCCACACCATGCTGTTTCTGCTGTGATATCCAGCTCAACAGCTAGCCTGGCACCCTGCACTCCACCTCACCTGGGAGAAGTTCAGCCCATTGAGCGGGTGGCATTGCTCTTCTACTTTCTCCACAGCACCCGTTTGCTTCCTCAGCCGCTCTGCTTCCTGGGCCAGGAACAGATCCAGGACAGGCACGCCTCGTGACTTGATGTCTACCTCTGTCAGGGAGTTCACCATCAGCATCACCCAGACCGGCCTCTTCTGTTCCCAGTTGCCAGCAATGGCATTGAAGAGGTAGTCCGCATACAGCCCTTTGCCCCGTTGGTCTGGGGTCATCCAGGATGGCATCATGAGCTTGACATACTCCAGGTGCCGCTTCAGCCGGCGGTAGATGTCTCGGGGCAGCACATCTTGGAGGTTCTTCCCCTGTGGCAGGAGTTGGCAGCTGGTGAGAGCTGAGATGGTGTAGGGGTCAGTGAGATCCAGCTCAAAGTACACGATGTGGCTCTGTTGGAAGGCTTTCTTGGAGTTCTCTGGGATAAAATCCCAGACACGCGTGTATGGGACATGGATGGTGCCAAAGAAATAAGATGGGGGATCTCTCTTGATTGTCCACAGGAAGGAGTTCAGCTCATTTTGCTGGGAGAAAGGGAGACACAGCTGAGTAAGTACACACATTTATGCCACGCCACTGCAGCAGAGGGCTTAAGGAAAACATGCTGCCAAGCCAGCAGGTCACCTGGCTCAGCAGCTTGCCAGCACGAACTTTTCCTAAAGTGACTTTGCTCTCATAAAGTCCTCTTTGACCATTGTTTTTCTCAGGTCCTGAGGTAAAAATTCCATTTTCATTAAATAAAAACATAAGAATATTGTCTTGGCCTTTCTCCTCCTGAAAGGTAACACTGCATCTTCTCAACAGTAGTATCAGCTGATACATCATCTGGGTATCTACCAAAAGCAACAGCAGAGCACAGCCCTAGCACACCATGATTCAGGCACAATACTTACCCAACTTCTGCCTTTCATCAAGTCAAAAATTGGCACCACTTGCTCAAGCAAAGCAGGACAGCAGGATTTCTGTCACTTTCACCTCTCACTTCAGCACAGCAAGGCACCTTTCATCAAAGAAACTGCTGTGACAGTCAGAAGGTGGTGCAGCATCATGGGTGACTATGACTTCCCATGTGACTATGCCGGTTTTGGTTGGGGTGGAGTTAATTTTCTTCACAGTGGCTGGTATGGGGCTGAGTTTTGGATTTGTGCTGAAAAAGGTGCTGATATTATAGAGATGTTTTTGTTAGTGCTGAGCAATGCTTGCGCAGAGTCAAGGCCTTTTCTCCCTGTCGTATGACTGTGAGCATACATGCTGAAGGTGCACAAGATATTGGGAGGGGATATAGCCAGGACAGCTGACCCTAACTGACCAAAGCAATATTCCATACCATATGGCATCACGCTCAGCACAAAAAGCTGGGGAGGATGGGGGAAGAGGAGAGAGGACATTCAGAATGATGGGGTTTGTCTTCTCAAGTCACTGCTACACGTGATAGAGCCTGCTTTACTGGGGATGGCTGAACACCTGCCTGCCCTGGGAAGTGATGCATGAATTCCTTGTTTTGCTTTGCTTGTGTGCATGACTTTGCTTTAGCTATTAAACTGTCATTATCTGAACCCAACAATTCACCCTTCCAGTACTCTCTTGCAACCTCTCTTGCATGGAATGGGAATTTAATGAGTGCAGTGCTTGGTTGACAGCTGGGATTATAACACAACAGCAAGGCACCAAGAAAATGAGTAACACAAAACACAGCTGGCAGGCAGACCTGCTGGAACAGGCAGAAATAAAATTTTTCACAAGGCAGACAGACACCCAGTAAAGACCCCTCATGGTCCAGTACTCTTTCTTAAGTAGCAGAGAAGAGCGTAGAAAATAAGTGAAAAAAAATTTCTGCAGGCCTGTGGTTTCAAGGTATCCACTTAATAAAGTAAACACAGAGGGATAAAAAAAGCATCTTTTTTAAAATTGGCTTTTAAAACCTCTCAAAACCCACAGCCATCACGAAGTCAGAATCAGATTTAAATTTGTTCTGCTGGAAAATACACCTCACAGCATCACCTGAGATACCTCAATACAGGCTTGTGGTGTTCCCACGGGACAGAAGAGCAGATGGGACAACATGGATCCTGCTTGAATCCTTTCAACTCACTTTACAGCAGCAGCAGGCACAGCCTTCATCACCCACCGCACCCCACTGGTGCCACAGTACTTACTGGAACAATGGATACAAGCGGTGTCTGTCTGCACAAACAGGAAGAGGTAGCCTTTGCATGTCTAAGTAAGAGAACAGACTTCCAGATGCACTCAAACATCTGGTCAGTCTTGAGCCAGCAGATAACTCTAACCTCAGCACTGGGGCAAACTGTGCATGTGTGCTGATCTAAGGAGCCTGCCTGACTGCCAAAAGCAGAACAGGCTGCTTGGAGGAATTTACTGGAAGCACATTGCCTATAAACTTCTGACACTAAAGACTCGGGGTCAGAAAGGTTAATCTTAAAGACTGCTCTGCAATGGCTCATCCCAGACAACCTTCTCCAGCAGCTCTGTACATCAAAACCAGGCCACAGATCAGGCAGCACTTCAGCAAAGTGCTACCACCAGTCCACTTCACCTGCATGGACTATAGCATATAGAATATCCTGAGCTGAAAGGGACACATAGGGATCATTGAAGTCCAACTCCTGGAGCTGCATGGGAGAAACCCAAGAACTGCACCACGTGCCCAAGAGCATTGTAGAAACCAAATGTATTCCAAAGGGCTCTTCAGACTGTTCTGCATCATGTAAAGAATCTGAAGGATACTTCAGATCCTGGCAACACCATCCTACAACTCCAAATCCTACACCTGAATTACAGAGCACAAAAACTCTCCTGAAGACCATAGGAAGAAGGGTTAAGAAACATGAAGAGCCCTAGGGGGTACCAGAGATACAGCACAACAGGTGAGTAAAAATCTAACATAGACCCCGGAAGAATACAGAAGAATGAATATGCAAAGTAAAACAAGAGGGAAAATGAGACAGGATTCTTCCCCAACCTTAGTCAGAAGGGGAAAATGAAACGGCATGTCACTGCTGTGAGAAATGAACTGGAAGTAGCAGTCAGGCAGCAAGGAGGAAGGGCCAAAAGTGCTGCTTTCCATCTACTGCAAGTGTAAAGACAGAGGAGGCATTCAGGGCAGGCATGAGGTTAGGAGGTCGATAATTCTCTTTGCACAGATCTGATCGTTTAGGTGGGAGTGCACAAAACCAGCTACAACTTCAAGGAATTGTACAGAACAAGTGGTCACCAGCCAGCTTTTAAGCTCCTCAATAAACGTAGCAAGAGGCTCAAGCCCAGATGACTGGTAACAGACTTTAACACAATCATTAGCATTGCTCTGGACTACTGCACACAGCCCAGCTAGAAAGGCTTTTGGCATTATACTCTGGGGTTTTTTTCTCTGCTTATCCCCACAACTTTCATAATCGGATACTGAAAGCAGGGTAGTAACTGCCTGGTACCAATGGTACCTCTGAAGAAATAAAACAGGCCATTAGGCACAGAGTACATGGAAGTTTTTCTTTAAAGAGCCTGTAGCACAGGCAGAAGGAAAGCAGGCTGAGATGTAGAAAAAGTTTTCACACAGTTCTCCACGCCCTGACATTACAAAGCAATGCAGCTGAGCACTCTTGCTGGCACTCGCATGTCAAAAGTAGTCGTGAACTTGAGAAATCACCCTAAGCACCACTCAGACCTCCACAGAAAGCTTGGAGCCAGCATGCGAGGACATAAAACCTCAGTGTCCCACCACTGACAGGGAAACTCCCCGGACCCTGCAGAATAAGTTTCTGGGCACCAGCAGGTGTTATCATCACCAAGTGATGGTACATGGGGAGCTCCCAAAGCTCACTCTCCCTCTAAAAGTTGGTACTACAGCTGCTTTGGACATGCTAGTGCCTCACACTCCTTTGGCATCTCCTTTTCCTTCCAAAGTGGAGACTGGAATCCTAGCAGTTCTCTGCCTCTGTGCCAGATCCTGCAAACAGCTTCCTGTATGAGTGGGGAAGGAGAAAAGCCCTTGGTGTGCCTGAGCAGGCCTGTCTTGCCCTGCTGTACCTTCAGGCACTCCCATCTCCCTGCAGACCTCTTGCATGTCTCAATGCAGCTTCAGAGAGGGAAAGGCAAGGATATAATCTCACCCCAATACCATAAAAGGGAAGTTGTTAAACAGTGCTCTAGGTAGCCATGAAATACCACAGGAGCAGTGCCGAGGCTTGCTCAGCATCACACCATACACCATTACTGTGGCACCTCGCTTCCCTGAGAGCATGCTACAGCCCAATTTTCATCTGCAGTAAGATCCTTTAATACAGATGCTGCAACAAAAAAAAAAAGGTGCTTTAAAACAAACAAATTACAGTCAAATTGTTGTCCTGGAGGCTTGTGGCAGCTGGGCTATGCAGCTTGAGGAATTTCAGTTTCAGCAGCGTAACAACAAAAAGGTTCATGAATAGATCAAGATGCATAGATACATATTTCTGTCTCCACTCTACAACTTACAGGTGGTAGTCAATGCATTACTCATCACAGGAAAAACCCTGAGCAAGGGGAAAGTCTCACAAGACAACACAGGTCTCCCAACTTGCTGCCACACAAAGGTCCAAGGAATCACCAGATCAGGGTATTTCTGAATGCTCAGCACTACAGCATGATGCCTTCACCTCCCCAGGTGAAAAAGCTGACACTGTCACAGAGAATGCACTGGGACTTGTGGGATCCACTCCCTACCACAAGACTTGGACAGCCTCCTTCTCAGCTAAGGCTGCACACAGGACAAACTCCACCGTCCACTGAGGTGCAATGGGGATGCACAGGGATGGACAACACTTCCCCAGCGTGACAGGACAACAGTGTCAGCCACTGCAAAAATTCTGTGAAAGCATGGTGCACATCAAGGGTACTTCTTGGGAGCTGAGGTTCCTTCTTTTTTATTAAAAAACCCCAAGCCTCAGATTTTGTTTGTTTTAACTAGCACCAACAGCTTGCTTTTCCAGCACTATTTAGAGATCCATTATAGGATGCAGCCTGTAGTCTTCAAATACACAAACACTACTGTGTTTGTCAGACATCATACATAGCTTCAAGTGAGGCAGCAATGATTTTTCTGGAAGAGAAATGCCAAAGACAATCAGAGAAAGTGTCCTTTTTTTTTTTTTTTTTTTCCCAACAGAATCTATTTAAAATTGGGCTGAATGACATACTAACAAGAATAAAATTGGCAAACATCCAGAAAACAATTCAGAAAAACACCAAGAGGAGAAAAGAATTTATCTAGTGACAGCACTCCAAATGTCTAGAAGAGCATGAGAGTATAAAAAACTAACCACAAAAGTATAAGTATAAACAGAAGGCTGTGGCGATGCAGGGAATGAAGGCTCAGAGGGAAAGGAAGACAGTCTAGAGACTGAAGAACTGGACGAGAACTTCAGACATGGACAACCTAGACTTAGTCTGCTTCCTTCTACACAAGTTCTGCTTCCTTCCATCTTCTATCTCATCTATGTAGACTATGCATTTTATACCTCACTGTGCAGGCAGATGCCCTCTGTGGCTTCATTGTCTTTCAGGACCCCTAATATTCACCACTTGACCTCACAACCACACCTTCCAAACCTCAGCCCAGAACTGCACTGTTTCTCAATCTACAATATTCTTGTGCCTTATTTTTCTTGCTAGCTACAGAAGCCAAAGCATATGGCATGCAATATTTCACCCAGGCAGGCAGCCCTATAACCCTACCTATTATGGCCTTCTCCCTCTCTCTTATCTATCCTGGCATCCTATCTTGTCATGTTCCTTTATACCTAATCGGGGCAAAGATTTTACTCAACACGCTACATGCCCATGCAACTATGGTAATGCACACAAGAATGTTAGCCACGTTTTTAATGGTACTTGAGCTTTTGCCCACCTGCATTACTGACACGCTCAAACTCAGCTTAAGACTGAAAGTAGAACTCACTTGGGGAATAAACACCTGGCTACAGCTACTAAAAGAACACATCCAAAGTGCCAGAAATGAAAAATGAAGTTTTTAACTAAAAAGCCACAGGTTAAGAACAAGACATTTGACTTGCTCTGCTGAAGGGCATATATGGGGAAAAGCAGCCACATAAATTAATTGGCCCTCTATCAGGAACAACACATCATAAAATACTAACCAACTACAACTACAAGCATTCCACAATTAATCCCTGATTTCTGGCTTTGATTTTTCCAGTGCACTCCAATGTTAAGCAAAAAGAAAACAGTACCAGACCACATTACATAGTATCTGGAATACAACCCAAAAGGATTCCCGCATACTTTATTTTAAAATAATTGTTTTCAATGTCTTTTTTTTTCCTTGAGAATGATAAGGCACATTATTGGTTGTAGCTTTAACTATAATTTTGAGTCATGATGAGAAAGCCTCCTGAAATACTGTAGGTTCATTCCTTGAAATAGCAGCTTTTCAGGCAACAATGCACATGCTTCTTTCATGGCAGAGACTGAGGCAACCTAACAAAAAGAAAGTTAGACCTGTCTAAGAGAGGTATGAAAAGGAATCCTATAAAGAACTAAAGTAAATTAAAACCCATCTGTGGTGATGCAGGAACAAGACAGTATATTTTCCCTAAGAAGTTCATGTAAATATTCATAAGGATAGACTCAACAGTTTTGTAAATAAGGCAGACACTGCCATTCCTAGACAGTGGGGTTATTACCATTGTCCTAATGACCCTCAGAAACGGCCTGCCTATTCCAGAACTACAGGTGGTCTCACATTTTAATGACAGCGTAATCAGCAGATAATTACCTACCATTAAGACATTTCACCTCCAGTCCTGCTAGCAACTGGCAGAAGTCCAGTCAATTGTTTCTGAAAAAACTCTTCCTGCATGTCCCACCCAACCTGTGAAGTTATCCATTTCCACAAGTATGACTTCTGCTCAGGAGCTGTCCTCTTTGTACTTGCTCTCACTAGCTCCTTGCAGTAGTTTCATACCAGCCCACATCTTTTGCACCTCATGCCCTCAAGGAGAAGGGGGTACCCACTCCAAAGGCTTGACCTGGCTTTATGGCAGTGTCACAGCTGGCCACCTACAAATCCAGTTGACAAACTAGTTCCCAGCAAATTGTAACGACACCATCCCACAAAGTAGGGCTAGGCTCTGTTTAACTCAAGCTCAGACAGACACCTCTAGCGAAGCACATGTAGCTTGGCATGTAGCTGATTCCATAATGCCCTAAATCCTAGGAGAAGATATTCTGGGGAACCAGCATGCTCACAGAGGCAGGAAGGCCCCCAAGAACAAGGGCTACATGTAGGTGCATGAGCAGGTGAGAGAGCGGAGTGAAGTCACAGAGCAGACCTTCTTCAGTTGCAAAACTTTCTCACACCTACCCTGCAGTGAGCCTGCTGTGGCTTTGGCACCTCCCCGGTGCAGCAGGTCTGCATTTACTTCTAAGGGCTTCCAGTTTCCTTAAGAGTGGAATTAACCTGGGAGGGAAGCTGAAGTGACGGTACACATATCACAGAAGCACGTCAGGTCCAAGTAGATGCCAACAGACAGCACAGATGGCCTGTTAACACAAAGTTAGTTCAAGAAGGCTTTTCCTACATGATTTTTGGTACTTTTGTCTCAGAAGAGTCAAGCTTCAACTGGAACGACTTTTTTCTGATCCTTTGTGAAAATGGCAAACACGGTCTACACAAGCTTCACAGTGGCTGTACCATCACCCCTAACTTGCAGCAGGGATCGGCTGCTGTCCTAACCACCCACCGGAGCTAAGCCAGTGCATGCTGCTCCCAGCTACTGCAGTCAAGCTGCTAAGTTTAGGAGACGAGCAAAACCTAACATAACGTGTAACCCGCGTTTTCACACCAAACGGCCATTTCCTGGTCCGAACCTGTTCCAGCACGCTCGGCGTTCTCAAGTGGGACTAGGCGGCAACCCTGCGCGGGATGGCATGAGCAAGTCACTCCCGGCCAGTCTATAGTTTGGCGGGCAGCGCAGCTCGTCCTACTCACCGCAGGCAAAAGATCCTGCTGGGCCTCACCCCAGGGTCCTCCTCCCCCATGCACGCTCCCGGCACCCTGCCTCTCCGTCCCGGGAAGCCGCGGTGCCGCTGCCGAGCGCTTGCCGCCCGAGCTCGGCGCACCGCGCCCGCCTGACAGAAGGGACTCAGCCGCGGCCGGGGCGGCCCCGCACGCCGCGCCCTCCCGCCACCGCACCCCGAAGGGACCTGACCGCGTCCCCCGCGCTGCCGGGGCGGGGCGGGGCAGCAGCGCGCCCCGGGCAGGAGGGCACTCCGGGGCAGGAGGGCACCCCGGGGCAGGAGGGCACCCCGGGCAGGAGGGCACCCCGGGGCAGGAGGGCACCACGGGCGGCGCTTACCTTTCTGCGGAGCGGGCAGGCGGCGGCGCGGCCGTGCAGGGCTGTGGCCAGCAGGAGGAGGGAGCCCTGCAGCAGCAGCAGCAGTAGCAGCAGCAGCAGGCGGCACAGCCCGCCGGGGCGCACCATCGCCGCGCTGCGCGCAGCCTGCGCACCGCGTCCCCCTGCGGTTTCTGTTTTGTCCCCCCACCTTTCCGTGCTTCCGCACCTCCCGTTTTACTTTCTTTTTTTTTTTTTTTTTTTTTTTTTCCCTGCTCTCCCTGTTAGGTTTTTGTTCTGGCCGTCCGATTCAATCCGACAGCTCCCGCAGGAGCAGCCCCATCCCCCGGCCAAGCCCTCCAGCCTCTGCCCCCCTCCTCTTAAAAGGTCCCTGCGGGGCGGGGGGAGGAAGGGGAGGGCGCGGGGCCCGTGGCGGCGGAGGCGGGCGGTGGGGCGGCACCGGGGGGGTCCCGGAGCCTCCGGCCGGGCAGTGCCACGCTGGGACCTCTCCTGGCCCCGAGGGGCTGGGGCGGCCGCGCCCCGTCCCGCTGCCCTCGCCGAACCCGCCGCGCCCGGGCCCGCAGGGAGCGCAGCACCCCGGCTCTGTCCGCCCTGGGCCAGCCCGCCTGTGTCTCTGCCCGCCTGTGTCTCTGCCCTTCCTACTGCTCTCCTTAAGAGAATATAAAATGGAATATTGTGATTCTTCACAAGCTTTTATATTGTCCCTTGGCTTGAATTATTTTGACTCATTCTTGTTTCATGGGCGGCCGTTCCAAAGTTGTGCGTCCAGTGTGCTTTGCGTAAACCGTGTTCACAGCATCACCAGAATAGTCTGAGTTGGAAGGACCCCCAGGGACTGTTGAGCCCAACTTTTCAGGGAATGGCCTATACAGGGATCGAACATGCGCCCTGGGCGTTATTAGTACCGTGCTCTGTGATCCTTACATGAAGAAAAAAATGTCGAAGAATGTATCAGTCTCTAATAGTGAAATTCAGCTGTCCCTGCCGAGGAGGCTCGTGTTTAAATCTTCACAAAAGTACACCTTGCTGCTAATACAGTCTTAAAAATATTGAGATTAATCCAGTGCTAATTAAAAGAATGAGCTTTTATAGCTCTCAAAATATTCAATAGTTTCCTCCTAATAATTTCATCATGGCATGCATAAATAATTAATATATAGCAAAACTGTTAGCATTTTTAAAGCTTAAACTGGGTAAATCTTCAAAGTTAAAATGCTAACAATTTGTGGCTCACTAAGGTGTGCGGCATTATTGTATGGAACAACCCTTGTTGCTCATTCCTACTTGTTTTAATTAAATACTTCCCAACCACAAAGACAAAATCTATTGAAGCCTTAAATAAAAACACAGTAGAGGTCAAATGAAAGGTTAAAGGCATGTCACTCTACAAAGCAGTATCTTTTTGTTTAAGTAGAAGAATAAGGTGTTGCTTTTTTGCAGCTCATTCTCTATGATGAATTTTTCCATCTTTTGTCAGTATGATTATATATAATTATATTAGTTATACATAATACATTAATATAGTATAATTATATTAGTAATATATACTATTATATTAGCAATATATATTATATTAATATATTAGTCAATTTTACTATCCAGTAATAGCATTGTTACAATTTCTTAGTAATGACCATTATGCTCACTGTCCTGAGGGGCTTTCTTCTGATTTGGATTGTTTTTTTTTTTTTTAAATTGCTGGTGGTCCTGACCAACCCTGAGGCTTAGTACACAGAGTGAACAAAGATGGTCTTAAAAGACCACTATAATTTCTTTATTAATGCGGACCATTCCTTCCAAAGCTGTGTATATGAAAATACAATGCAAAAAGCAATACATGAAAGCATTTCTGGCTGTTTGCAGACTCAGATAGTTACTGTATCTTTAGCTTTCCTATATTCTTACTTCTAAACATCTTTTTCTACTCCTGAGATCCAGACCCAAGGTTAAATTCAGGTTTAGAGTCGAATGCAAATTTCACATCAGCTCAAAGAAAGAAAAGATGCCATCCTTTACTTTTGTCTGGGTTTTTTTTTTTTTTTTGGTGCAAATTAAGTGCCTCCAGAAGAAAGTAGGCAGAGCCAAAACCCTTAATTGTTTTGCCTTCTCTTATATGCATTACTGTATATATGAATCTTCTGGATTTTGATGAGGCAAATTATTCTAGAGTAATACATGAAGTGCATCTTCTTTTGTTAGGTCACACCAACCATTTAGAGCAAAGAGCATTATATGGCCAAGGATATTTTAATTTATTCTTTTTTTTTTTTTTTTCAGCAGGGAAAAATACTACTAGCATTTTACCAGCCATTCAAATACTCCTGTAACAATCAGAATAAGAAGTGCAGGTGGTACCTCTTTCTTCATCTGCCCCCCAAATATAACCCTGATTCAACACTGGAGCACCAAATAGCGAGTTTTCCCACCAGTCACAGATAGTCAAGCAACTTTGCTGAACATCACTCTTAGCCATACACTTGGTCATATGTATGTCTGGGCTTGAAAGCCAGATAGCATTCATACTCATACAAGACCCTGATCAATCTAGAGAGAATAAATTTTTCATGGCAGAGAGATGTGCTGGCAGACTGATTAGGTATCTTCTGTGTGACCATTTGGTTTGCTTTTTGTTTTAAAGTAGCAAAATATGTAACATTGTTTTCTGAAGTACACCACATGGCAATTACAGGCAATGCAGATTAACATGCTGCTTGGCCTTATTTTTGAATTGGTGGGAAATGCATTATTTGTGGTGAACTGCTAATGAAAAATAGGGAACGAAAAAAGACAAAGGCAGTGTCTTAAAGAGACTTCCAAAGTAATTTTTACTTGCACTGCAACATTTCAGTAGAAAGCCACACCCTAGTTCTATTAGCAGAAATCTAAGAGATAAACACAACATTTTTATTTAACAAATTTCTCTCTATAGCATGGCCAGGATTTGCTTATCCCAGTCTCTCACAAAATTATTTCAATAGGACTTCAAAATGTCCTTATATCTATGCATGTGCTTATGAACATTGTACAGAAAGGATAAACAAGCACGCACTTAAATGATTTTCTGGATCAGGGCCTTAGACCACAGAGAGTCTGTGTCCTGAGTTGTCACTAGCTGGTACTTAATTCAAGGTGATTGAAGGAGCTGTGTCTGCTACAGCAGCGCAGTTTGAGCAGCTGTCATGCACAAGCAGTTGCTCACATTCACATCCCAAGGTTTAGGAATTTCTACAGGTGGGGCCAGGAGGTCACCTGGGCTCTGTGGAAAAACAAAATTTTTTTTTTTTTTTTTTTTTTTTTTTTTTTTTTTTTTTGGTACATCAGCTGATGCTTAACTTCAGTTAGTTTCCTGGACCATAGGAGCTTTTATGTGGAAATGGCTGAGAGGCTGTCAGAGGTACAAGTCTCCTCGAGTGGGTGTTACTTGTTACTGGTGGCAGGTCTGCAGAGCATCACAGTCCAAAACTCTGGCATGTGCTAATTGGGATGGCATGCATCCATGTGTACATGTGACACACATGCCTGAGAGACCTCCAGATTCTTTGTTACCTAACATTAACTTGCAGTGGGAAAGAAAGCCACCCCATACAGGCAAACACAGTAAACCTTGAGTGAAAGAAGCTGCCACAAAAGAGGTTTGCACAGAGTTCAGGACAGAATTATATTCATAGTCCTTTAACAGGCAGGTCAACTCCGATTCACCCACTGTTGAACATGAATTCAAAACTGATTTTAAAGACCATGAAATTTAAGCATGAGCATTTCTCACCATTTAAAATTATGAAACATATCATAAAGCACATAATGAAGGAGCAAAGGAGCTTTTTTTCACTGAGTTGAGAAAAAGTACTCTATCTGCATTTGAAAGGAAGTTTGCTTAGAAGGATTGATGTGGACTTCAGAGATTCATGAACACAGAGTCCCAATTATGCCTCCAGATAAAAAAGGGTTAGTGAACTTTGTAGTATGTTACTGTATGAATGTATTAGGTCAGCTGGAAGGGAAATATGGGGAATATATTACAAAGTGAAGTGGTTACATGTAATTATCAAGTATAGTTATCTAAAAGCCAAAAATGAACAGGAAAGAGTAGAATTCTTCAAAAGAGATGCATTCTCCAAATGCATCTTAATGGTAGTAATCTCAATTTGAATGGAGATAGAAAGCTGAACAAAAATATATCTCTTCAACATTGAAAGGAGGTGAAGAGAAAGTACATGACCATAACAGGGAGCTCTGAATTGTGCTAGGCCCCAGCACTTTTGAAATAAAGGAGAGGATCACTTGAAGCTAGGCTGGAAGGCATTAGATGATGGTTTACAAACCACTTTCCCCAGACTGAAAGTATTTTTATAAGAGTGCAATCAAAACCCAAACTATTTATAATGTGAGACTAAAGTGCTAGCAAGATAGTAAGAAGTAGCATGAGTTAGTCAGTAGTTCATAATGTTGGAAGGAAAAAAGCAAAGGATTGGAAAAAATGAATGTGACTAATGCATAATTTTATTAAATTTAGTAAATAGGGATTTAGTCCCTCTCTCTGTGTGAGAACTGTAGCCCCACTGCTAGCCCATATATGGCCCTCAGCCCTACTGGCAGAAAAACAGCTCCTTAGGCCTTGGAAAGGAGGGATGCAACAGTCCCTCTTCTCTTTGCACTCCCTTTCAAGCCCTTCACTGGGATGCAGGAAAGATGCAGGAGAAATCAGTCCTGAAAACTCCAGTGAGCCTTAGTCCTGTGCACATAAGCATCCATCTGGGAAGCAGCTGGAAAGACTGGGACCCTCAGGAAGGCTCCAAAATTTGTAAAATCTTTAGTTTACATAGGTATATTTCTGATGCCTTCTAGAAAATATCAGGACAGCTTTGCTTTGGAACAACTGAAGGAAATTTAAACCATTTAAATATGCATTGAATTCAGTTTATCCATTAAATTAGCTTTTTTTTTTTTTTTTTTTTTTTTTTTTTTTTTTTTTTTTTTTTTTTTTTTTTTAGCAATTGTAATTAAGGATTTTCCACAAAGCAGAGAGGAGTTTTCCAAGACATAAGACTTATTTTCTCCTGGTTTTGTAGCTT